GAGTAGCACAGCGCAAGGGCAGATGTCTTCACTGTATCTGGTTGTGATCCCCAGGTTGTGCCAGTCAGCTTTCGTATGATATTGTTTCTAGCACCCACTTTTTGCTTGATGTTCAGGCAGTGCTTCTTGTAGGTCAGAGCACGGTCCAGGGTGACTCCCAGATATTTGGGTGCGCTGCAATGCTCCAGTGGGATTCCTTCCCAGGTGATCTTCAGAGCTCAGGATGCTTGTCTGTTCTTGAGATGAAAGGCACATGTCTGTGTTTTAGATGGGTTGGGGATCAGCTGGTTTTCCCTGTAATAGGCAGTAAGAGCACCTAGAGCTTCGGAAAGCTTCTGTTCTACCATCTCAAAGCTCCCTGCTTGAGCAGTAATGGCACGATCATCAGCATAGATGAAACTCTCTGTCCCTTCTGGCAGTGGCTGGTCATTTGTGTAGATGTTGAACATGGATGGAGCAAGCACATTCCCCTGAGGCAGGCCGTTCTTCTGTTTCCGCCATCTGCTTCTCTGGCCCTGGAACTCAACAAAAAAGCTCCTGTTTTGTAACAGGTTTCCTATGAGGCGGGTGAGGTGGTAGTCCTTTGTGATATTATACATTTTCCTCAGGAGGAGGCGGTGGTTCACAGTATCATAGGCTGCTGACAGAAAAAAAAAAAACCAGAGCATGCAACAGATGACATTTCTTCACAATACTGTATTTTTCTGAAAAAACTCTTCAGCTACCAGTCATCCCTTGCATCTTATCTGTGCCCGCAGTCATGAAGAAACTTTTTCTGACATAGTTAATCCAGTGGAATTTGTTTTTCCATGGGGAAGTGAGGGGAAAAAATGCTACACTATATGACCCCCATATTTGAAGGGGACAATGTTCCCAAATATATTGTAGAAAAAGGAAACCATGGATAATAGGGAATGCCTTTTTTCCTGCTTCTTGGCAAGGGGTTGGACTGGATGTCTCATGAGGTCTCTTCCAATCTATGATCCATGTTTCTGGGGAAATTAATTTTCCCTCCAATTATCTTGAGAATTTCAACTCAACTCTGAAATAATTGTACCAATTTGGGTGGCACAAGTTTTTGTCCCTTTCTCTTTCTTGGAAGACTGCGCTCATTGTCCCATAGCCAAAAGAGACAGGCCCTTTGCCCCTCTAAACTGCCTTCAGGTGTTATGGAGCACCTCATTCATCACCAGTATTGAAGGGACAGCAAACAGTCTACCCTCCAACTATCCAGGTTTGGCAGTCCTAGTCTTGTTAACCTTTTGCAGTCCTGCTTTCAAATGTCCCAGTTTCTCTGTTCTCATTTCAGGTTACTCAGGCTGGAAACGGAGTCTGAAGCTTGCAAGTAATTTACACTCAGTTTACTCACTAAGAGGAGAGGAGGCATGTTTATCAAATCTGCAGATGACACCAAATTGAGAGGGAGAGCTATTAACACACCTCAGAGGACAGGACTAGAATCCAAAATGACCTTAACAGATTGGAGAGGTGGGCCAAAACTAACAAGATGGATTTCGACAGGGAGAAATGTACTAGAGAAGGCGGAGAGGGGACATGGTAGTCCTGTTTAAATATTTGAAGGGTTGTCACATTGAGGAAAGGGGTGGGCTTTGTTGACGCTCAGGGAACTAGGACATGGAGCAATGGATCCAAATAGCAGGCAAAGAAATTCCACCTCAACCTTAGGAAGAACTTCCTGTTGGTAATTGCTGTTGGGCAATGGACTATCCTAGCTTGGAGGATTAGGCTTTTAGGTAGAGGCTGGACGGCCATCTGTTGGAGTGCTTTCGTTGTGTCTTCCTACATGACAGAATGGGTTGGACTGAATGGCCCTTGGGGTCTCTTCCTATTTTGATAATAGGAAAAGGCTCTATCCTGCCCTTCCTATGGAGCTTAGGCAAAGGCTAAACTGCTGCCTGTCCTAGCTCCTCATTAGTAACTATTTGTATCATATTGATACATGTTTTCCCCTTTTTTCATCAGTGAAATAGAGGCCCTGGTGGCACAGTGGGTTAAACCCTTGTGCCGGCGGGACTGAAGAGGTTTGATTCAGGGGCGAGTGCAGGTGACCTCCCCTGTCAGCTCCTCCTCCCCATGCAGGGACATGAGAGAAGCCTCGCACAAGGATGGTAAAAACATTAAAATATCCAGGAATCCCCAGGGCAACATCCTTGCAGATAGCCAGTTCTCTCACACCAGAAGCGACTTGCAGTTTCTCAAGTTGCTTCTGACACAAAAATCAGTGAAATGTCAAAGGGTATGCCAGTAGGTTGCTATGATTTTACTGGGCTGTATGGCCATGTTCCAGAAGCATTCTTTCCTGATGTTTCACCTGTATCTATGGCAGGTCTGTTGGAAACTAGACAAGTGAGGTTTATATATTTGTGGAAGGTCCAGGGTGGGACAAAGAACCCTTGTCTGCGAGAGGCAGCTGTGAATGTTTCAATTGGCCACAATGATTAGTAGGGCTGGGCAACCACGGAAAAATTTGTTTCTAAACTCGATTCGTTTTTTGGGGTTTTTTGCGTTTCAATATTTAAAAGAATTCCGAAATTTTTCTTTAAAAAAGTTCGATATTTACGAAATTTCGTAAAATTACGAAACAATACGAAACGAATACGAATCGATTCGTTAATGGCGGACGCGACCGCGCAATACGCTAAAAAACCTCCAATGGGACAGGGGGAACTTCTGAAGCTTCCCTCTCCCTCTGTTGTTGACTGTTGGTGTGATATTTATAATTTTTTTTCACTGATTAAACAAACAACAGCTATAAAACTTGCCCCAGACATGCGGAAATAATAACGAAACGATTTCGAAACGATTTCGAAACGAATACGAAACGAATACGAAGCAATTACGAAACGAATTGAAAAATTCGTTTCGTTTTTAAGATGCTCCTGAATGGTTCAATATCGCTTCGTTATAAAAAAAATAACGAATTTTTAACGAATTACGAAATTACGAAACGAAACCGCCCAGCCCTAATGATTAGCAATGAGTAGCCTTTCAGCTTCAAGGTCTGGCTGCTAACTGCCTGGGAGAATTCTTTGTTGGAAGGTTTTAGCTGACCCTGATTGATCCATGCCTGGAATCCCTTGTGGACAATTTCAACAGAAAGGAGGAAACCATGAAAATGGACAAAATCTGGCTACCAGTATTTTAAAAACTCTAAAATCAGAACAGTAAATGTCAGCACATGGGCAAGTGAGGTTTATATATCTGTGGAGTGTCCAGGGTGGAAGAAAGAACTCTTGTCTTCTTGAGGCAAGTTTGAATATTGCAACTGGCCACCTTGATTAGCATTGAATAGCCTGGTTGATTTCTGCATGAGGGAATCCTTTGTTGGGAGGTGTTGACTGGCCCTGATTGTTTCCTGTCTGGAATTCCCTTGGTTTCTGAGTTTTGTTCATTCTTTACTGTTAGAAGTAAAGGAAGATTTTGCACATTTTACAATACTTCTAACAGTAAAGAATGAACAAAACTCAGAAACCAAGGGAATTCCAGACAGGAAACAATCAGGGCCAGCCAACACCTCCCAACAAAGGATTCCCTAATGCAGAAATCAACCAGGCTATTCAATGCTAATCAAGGTGGCCAGTTGCAATATTCAAACTTGCCTCAGGAAGACAAGAGTTCTTTCTTCCACCCTGGACACTCCACAGATATATAAACCTCACTTGCCTAGTTTCCAACCTCTGAGGATGCCTGCCATAGATGTGGGCGAAATGTCAGGAGAGATTGCTTCTGGAACATTGCCATACAGCCCAGAAAACTCACAGCAACCCTGGGATTCTGGCCATGAAAGCCTTCGACAACACAGTATGCCAGTAGCTGCCTGATGAGCATACCAGTATGCAAAAAAGGGGTTTGTCACTTTGCCTCAGGCAACCAAATACCTTGGTTTACCCCAGTGTTTCTCACCCTTCCTAATGCTGGGACCCCTTAATACAGTTCCTCATGTTGTGGTGACCGCCAACCATAAAATTATTTTCGTTGCTTCTTCATAACTGTAATTTTGCTACTGTTCTGATTCATAGTGCAAATATCTGCTAAGCAGGATGTATTTTCATTCACTGGACCAAATTTGACACAAATACCCGACATGCCCAAATTTGAATACTGGTGGGATTGGGCAGGGAGATTGATTTTGTCATTTGGGAGTTGTAGATGTTGGGATTTATAGTTCACCTATAGTCAAAGAGCATTCTGAACTTTACCAACAATAGAATTGAACCAAACTTGGCACACAAAACTCCCATGACCAACAGAAAATACTGGAAGGGTTTGGTGGGCGCTGACCTTGAGTTTTGGAGTTGTAGTTCACCTACATCCAGAGTGGTCTCAAACAATGATGGAACTGGACCAAACTTGGCACGGATACTCAATGTGCCCTAATGTGAACACTGGTGGAGTTTGGGGGATATTTGGGAGTTGTAGTTGCTGGGATTTACAGTTCACCTACAATGAAAGAGCATTCTGAACCCCACCAATGATAGAAATGGGCCAAACTTCCCACATAGAACCCCCATGACCAATAGAAAATACTATGCTTTTTGATGGACTTTGGCGACCCCTCTGATACCAATTCATGACCCCCCCCCCCCCAGGGGTCCCTGAGCTGGTCTAGCCCCGCTCAGGATAATTCTCCTCAAATGTTAATTTTTGTGAGCATTGGTTGATTTCTGCTAGGAAAACCATGCTTCCCAGGAAGGGATCCTGCAGGAAAGTCGGCGAAGCCTTCCTCGCGCTCTTTGGGACGCTCCTGTTCCAACAAGCTCCCCAAGAAAGCTTCCCCAAAAGAGCCCTTGAGCCGAGAAGCCAGGGCGCCGGGCTCTCCAGTTTCCTCCTCCTCTTCGTCCCGCCTGGAGGCTCAAGTCCTCCAATCAAGTTCAGGCACGGAGCGAGGGAGGGAGAGACACCTTCGCTTTTGTCTGCAGGGGAATGCCTTAACCCCCCCCCCTCCTGTTCGAAAACACCCCGAAAAGAAAAAAAGAAGGAACCCAGCCCCTTGTAACCTGAAACGCCTAAGCCTGAGCAGCCACCCCACGCGCCCAAAGACTCCCAATTAATGTTTAACAAGCGCCGGATGGTCCGATGGGGGAAGAGTGGCGTGATCGGGCCACATCCACGCCCCAAAAGATTGTGAGGAACACGAGAGGATGTAAAGGAAGAGAGAGGGAGGGAGGGGGGAAAGAAAGGGGAGAAAGTCAGCCAAAGAGAGAGAGAGAGAGAGAGAGAGAGAGGGAAGGAAGGAAGGGAGGAAGAAGGGAGGAGGGCGGGCGCGTGCGGTGCGCGTTCCCGGGGCGTCATTTTCGTGGGCTAATCCCTCGCCAAGCCGCCGCTTGCGAGGCTGAGCAAGGAGCAGCGCTTCGACGGGTTCTAGGTTGAGGCTTTGGGGGGGTTCTAGATCCCGTCTGTCCACGAGGGCGTTTTGATTTCATACAAGGTCTGGGACTTGGCAAGAGTGCGGACTCTGCTGATCCCCGCTCTCCCAAACATGGGAAGGCGCCTCTCTTTGGCGGCTCCGCTGCTGCTGCTGCTTGGGCTTCTCCTGGTCCTTCGCTCCCCTCCCGCGGATTCCAGTGTCGTGGATGCTCCGGACGAAGAGGACGACCCCACGCCCTCCTTGGCTTTGGAGGAGGAGAACCAGGACGAGGTCGGGAAGGACCGGAGCGCCCCCGCCGCCTTCCATCGGAGCAAGAAGGTGACCCGAAAAGGAGGGAGGGAGGGGGAGGGAGGCAGGGAGAGAGGGCGGCTTTCTGCCCACCGAATGCAGTTGGAGCCCACGCTCCCAGCCCTGGCCCGTTCCTAGGGGGTCCTAGAAGTTGTCCATCAACAGAGCCTTTCGCTTTCTGTGCCAGAGAGCGCTGGCTGCCTCGCCAAGCAACTCCTATGCTTCCATAGCACTGAGCCAGGGCAGGCCCAGGGGGCCCAAACTGCCTTAGCTCGACGGGTGACTTTGGGCTGGAGGAGCCCCTGGTGGCGCCGTAGGTTAAACCCTTGTGCCAGCAGGACTGCTGACCGAAAGGTCCGTGGTTCGAATCCCCGCATGGAAGCTCCAGCTCCCCATGTGGGGACATGAGAGAAGCCTCCCATAGGATGGTAAAACATCAAATATTCGGGTTTTTCCTGGGAAACGTCCTTGCAGACAGTCAATTCTCTCACACCAGAAGCGACTTGCAGTTTCTCAAGTCGCTCCCTGAAACGAAAAGCAAACCTTGGGCTGGAGCCATGCACATGGGGGTGCCAGATTCCAGTGCAGGGATATGAGAAAAGCCTCCCACAGGATGGTAATACATCAAACATCTGGGCATTCTCTGGGCTACATCCTTGCAGACGGCCAATTCTCTCACAGCAGAAGCAACTTGCAGTTTCACAAGTTGCTGCTGACACACACACACACACACACACACACACCTTGGGCTGGAGCCATGTGCACGGGAGCTTCAGCTTCCAATGTAGGGACATGAGAGAAGCCTCCCATAGGATGATAAAACATCAAACATCTGGGCATCCCCTGGGCAACATCGTCATTGCAGACAGCCAATTCTCTCACAGCAGAAGCGACTTGGAGTTTCTCAAATCGCTCCTGACACACACTAAAAAAAATCCAACAATAAACACCTTGGGCTGGAGCCATGCGCATGGGAGATCCAGCTTCCAATGCAGGGACGTGAGAGAAGCCTCTCACAAGGATGGTAAAACATCAAACATCTGGGCATCCCCTGGGCAACGTCCTTGCAGACAGCTAATTCTTTCACAGCAGAAGTGATTTGCAGTTTCTCAAGTTGCTCCTGACACACACACACACACACACACACCTTGGGCTGGAGCCATGTGCATGGGAGCTTCAGCTTCCAAGGTAGGGACATGAGAGAAGCCTCCCACAAGGATGGTAAAACATCAAACATCTGGGCATCCCCTGGGCAACATCCTCATTGCAGACAGTCAATTCTCTCATACCAGAAGTGACTTGCAGTTTCTCAAGTCACTCCTGATATGAAAGAAAAACCTTAGGTTGCAGCCATTCATTCTGTTGTGCTCCAGAACTTTGCTGAAAGCCACACAAAGGCTTGGTGATCCTCAAGGTACCACACCCCATCTGATCTTGAAAAAGTTAAGCTGGGGCAGTCCTGGTTAGTACTCAGAAAGGGGATCGGTAACTGGCTGTATTTCAGAGGAAGGGCCTGGCAGAATCAGCTCTGAGGATTTCTTGCCCAAGAAAACCCTACAAAAATTACGGGGTCACCATGAATCTATAGCAGGCATGGGCAAACTTTGGCCCTCCAAGCTGTTAGGAATGGTGGGAGTTGAAGTCCAAAACACCTAGAGGGCTGAAGTTTGCCCATGTCTGATGTATAGGCAACTTGAAGGCACATGGGCAAAGATGCACAATTCAGAGTGAGGATGAGCTTTGCCTGTTGACCCAGTGGCACATGTGAAGTGGGACATTCTTGGCTCCATTGAGCGTTAAAGAAGCATCTTGGGTCTTCTCTGCATTCACTCCAACCACCCTTCCCTTTGTTCTTGGTCCTAGCGGTCTGAAGAGTTTCTAGGGGAGGAGCTCCATCACAGAAGCCATGGGACACGGTTTCCCTGTGGGTTCTCCTGCCTCTCCTACCACCTGTGTGCAGGGTTGGTTCGGCTGTATATAATCGTTGCTTTTGCTTCAGGTGGCAAAATATCCTGGGAGGGTAAGGGTTTAGAGCAGGCATGGGCAAGCTTGGGCTCTTCAGGTGTTTTGGACTTCAATTCCCATCACTCCTAACAGCCTCAGGCTCTTAGGAATGGTGGGAATTGGAGTCAAAAACACCCGGAGGCCCAAAGTATGCCCATACCTTGTTTAGAGCATGCTAGTTATCTATGACAATGGTTCTCAACCTGTGGGTTCGCAGATATTTTGGGCTTCACCTCCCAGAAAACCTAACAGCTGGTTAACTGGCTAGGATTTCTGGGAGTTGTAGACCACAACACCTGGGGACCCACAGGTTGAGAACCACTGATCTATGGGTAGATCAGTCCTTGGGAACTGTCATCATCATGGCAACTTTAAGAGTGTACCTTCAAGTTGCTTTTTGACGTATGGCACCCTCATTAATTTAATAGTGTTTTCTTCAGTAGTAGAGAATACTCGGAGGTAGTTTTTGCCAATTCCTTTCTCTGAAATATAGCCCACAGCACCTGGTATTCCATCCAATGGTAACAGGGCTGACCATGCTTAGCTCCCACAATCAAACAGGACTTAATGTCATGACTTTAAACAGACGTGAAGTAGGACCTTAGCCTATTATTCCCCCAGTTGTATTAAAGTGGATTACAAAATCACACCATTCTGTTTTGGGTAAGGCAGCGTTTCTCATCCTGGGGAGTCGCAAAGGGTGTGTCAGAGGGGTCGCCAAAGACCACCAGGAAACACAATATTTTCTGTTGGTCTTGGGAGTTCTGTGTGCCAAATTTGGCTCAATTTCATTGTTGGTGGGGTTCAGAATGCTCTTTGATTGTAGTTGAACTCTAAATCCCAGAAACTACAACACAGAAATGTCAAGGTCTGTTTCCCCCAAAATCCACCAGTGTTCACATTTGGGCATATAGAGTATTTGTTCTATCATTGTTTGAGTCCACAGTGCTCTCTGGATGTAGGTGAACTACAACTCCCAAACTCAAGGTCAATGCCCACCAAACCCTTCTAGTGTTGCCTGTTGGTCATGGGAGTTCTGTGTGCCAAGTTTGGTTCAATTCCATCGTTGGTGGAGTTCAGAAAGCTCCTTGATTGTAGGTGAACTATAAATCCCAGCAACTACAACTCCCAAATGACAAAATCAATCCCCCTCACAACCCCACCAGTATTCAAATTTGGGTATTTGTGCCAAATTTGGTCCAGCAAATGAAAATACATCTTGCCTATCGTATATTTACATCACAATTCATAACTGTAGCAAAATGACAGTTATGAAATAGCAATGATAATAATTTTATGGTTGGGGGTCACCACAACATGAAGAACTATATTAAGGGGTCATGGCATTAGGAAGGTTGAGAACCACTGGGGTAAGGAATAAGGGTCCATAATGTTCAATTTTAGCTGCCTTGTGCGGGAAAGGATTCCTAGCAGGAAATGAATGTGCAGACCTGTCCCAGGTGTTTCTCTACTAGTCTGCACCTGTAGCATTTTGCATTTACTCGCATCCCACTTGTCTGCTGAAAGGCAGAGCTGATTATTAAGCTCTTGTGATTTCAGAGATTAATGTGTTGTGATGGAGCCATTGGTTTAAAAAAACTGCTTGCTCTTTCTCTTTTTAACGGAGCTAGAAACCTGGTGTCCAGGGTTAGGGTTATGTAGAGGAGATGGATAGATAGAAGGGTCCCCAGGCATCTTGCATTATAGGAGCCCCCGGTGGCGCAATGGGTTAAACCCTTGCGCTGGTAGGACAAAATATCGACAGGTCGGAGGTTCAAATCCGGGGAGAGCACGGATGAGCTCTCTCTGTCAGCGCCAGCTCCCCATGCAGGGACATGAGAGAAGTCTCCCACAAGGATGGTGAAATATAAAAACATCCGGGCGTCCCCTGGGCAACATCTTTGCAGTTAACTAATTCTCTCACACCAGAAGCGACTTGGAGTTTCTCAAGTTGCTCCTGACACAGATAAAAAATCTTGCGTATATTGTTTTATGTGATCTCTTGAACGTTGCCAATTGCTTATTTGAGTAAATGCATTCATTTCACACAGTGCATTTGAACCCCATCCTGTCCGTTTGTACTGAACGCCTAACAGAAAATGGTTGGCATCCTTGATGGTTAGTCCTGTTTAGAGTAAATCTATTTAATCAGTTGTTAGATAGAGAGTCAACATGTGGGTAAATCCTGCTGAATGACTGGGTCTACTCTAGTCAGGATTAATGACAGAATTTAGGTCATTGACTATCAAACTGCTATGTGCAGCAGGAGGTTGCATGGCTAGCCAGCTGCTGTCTCTGTAGGGAAATTCGAGCTGTCATTTCAAAGGATACTTCTCATGCTTCAAGGGGGTGTAGGACAGTCCTGAATCTGGGTGTCTGGGCAGCTTCCATTCAGCCAGATGACCAGTGTCTTCAGCGGTCTTTTGGCTGAAAGTGGCAGCCGAGCAAGATTTGTAGCTGAGCGTGCAGAATTCTTAAGGGGGAAAAAAGCCTCATTGTATATTGGTTTTAGCTTTTTTTCTAATGAGAAGAATGTAGGGCAGTGTCTTTGGCGCACATGTGGCCAAGTAGAGATTACTGAAAGATTGGTGTGTGGTTCAGAGATTGAAGTGTGGGAAATCTCTGACTGAAACCTCCGAAAAGCAGGGGAGGGGTGTGTGCAATGGCTAGAAATGATGTTTGTTATGGCTTTCGCACATCTGGAGGACTCCCAGATAAGAGGAGAGAGAGAAAGAGAGAGAGAAACTCTTTTATAATGGGAGATAGCAATGATTTTCTTTTTTCACTTCTTAGTTTTTCTGCACATCCCTCATTGTCGTTCAGCTATATCCAGATTTGTGTTTTCACTGTCTCCTAATAGACGGGAAATATGTCTCAGGGCCCTTCCACACAGCCCTATATCCCAGAATATCAAGACAGAAAATCCCACAATATCTGCTTTGAACTGGGTTATCTGAGTCCATACTCAGATGATGTGGGATTCTCTGCCTTGATACTCTGGGATATTGGGCTGTGTGGAAGGGTTCTCAATATCAAGGCACAAAATCCCACAATATCTGCTTTGAGCTGGGTTTGGCAACATCTGGAGGGTTCCACGTTCCCTATTCTTGGTCTATTGACTATTGATTTCAGTAATGTTACAATGGCCCCTTCTACACTGCTATATAATCCAGGATATCAAAGCAGATAATCCACATTACCTGCTTTGAACTGGATTATATGAGTCTACACTCATGTGGGATTTTCTGCCTTGATATTCTGTGATATAGGGCTGTGTGGAAAGGTCCTAAGTTCACACTGCCATATATCCCAGTTTAAAGCAGAACATGTGGGATTTTATACAGCTGGGTGGAAGGGGCCTTACAAAGTCAAAAAATAAAAAGCAAAGCACAGATTTTGGCTAGATGTGTAAATACTGTGGGCTGTATTCCAATCCTAAAAAGCCCTATATCCCAGAATACCAAGTCAGAAAATCCCACAAGATCTGCTTTGAACTGGGTATCTGAGGGTCCTTCCACACAACCCTATATCTCAGAATATTAAGATAGGAATTCTCACATTATCTGAGTGTGGATTCAGATAACCCAGTTCAAAGCAGATATTGTGGGATTTTCTGACTTGGTATTCTGGTATATAGGGCTGTGTGGAAGGGCCCTAAGTTGGATCCAATATAGTGCTGAACTGTCAGGCTGGAGGTAAAGGTCAGGAAAGTCATATTTGCAACAACCTGTTACAGGGCCCTTCCACACAGCCCTATATCCCAGAATATCAAGGCAGGAAATCCCACATTCTCTGAGTGTGGACTCAGGTAAGCCAGTTCAAAGAAGATATTGTGGGATTTTCTGCCTTGATATTCTGTGATATAGGGCTGTGTGGAAAGGTCCTAAGTTCACACTACCACATATCCCAGTTTAAAGCAGAAAATGTGGGATTTTATACAGCTGGGTGGAGGGGGCCTTACAAAGTCAAAAAATAAAAAGTGAAGGACAGATTTTGGTCAAACATGTGAATACTGCAGACTGTGTTCCAGTCCTTAAAAGTTCCTCTTCAGCTCCTTATTTCTCAGACACTGTGTATTTGTATTCCAATCATATCTGAATCCTTGAGCGAGAGAAGCTGACAGATAGGGCAAGCAATGTTTGGATATAAATGGCATTGTTTTGCCGCTGTCCTGTTCTGCTCATTTGTCCCATGCTGATGCAAAGGTTTTCCTCCCACAAGAGGAATGCATTCAGACAGACACAACATGAAACTAGTGGATTGATTAAATGCGCTTGCTGTGCTTTCTGCTCCCTTTCCAGTGTGTGGTTAAATTCATATGCTCTTCAAAGAAAGCAGACAGTAGTATCATTTGCACAGTACACTTGTATTATTTCTTAACGATATGTTTAAAATGTTTACGAGGGTGTCTGTGCCCGAGTTGTACCCAGTTCGAATCTGGGGAGAAAGGGTTGAGCTCCCTCTGTCAGCTCCAGCTCCCCATGCGGGGACATGAGAGAAGCTTCCCACAAGGATGGTAAAACATCAAACATTTGGGCATCCCCTGGGCAATTTCCTTGCAGACAGCCAATTCTCTCACACCAGAAGTGACTTGCAGTTTCTCAAGTTGCTCCTGACACGAAAATAAAAAACATACACACCCTAGAATGACCTTAAATTTAAGACTGGAGCAATATCAGGGTGAAATGCCAGGAGCTGTGGTGGCGAACTGGGTTAAACCTTTGTGCCAGCTGAGTGGTTCAAATCCGTGAGATGGGGTGAGCTCCCGTCTGTCAGCTCCAGCTTCCCATGCGAGGACATGAGAGAAGTAACACATCCGGACATCCCCTGGGCAACGTCTTTGCAGATGGCCAATTCTCTCACACCAGAAGCGACTTTCAGTTTCTCAAGTCTCTTCTGACACAATTTTTAAAAAGGGTGAAATGTATACATGTATACTTGTATGAATTGATAAAACAGTAGTCAGTGTATAGAAGACCCCGATTTTTATCTCTTTCTCTCTCTCTCTGTGTCTGTCTCAGGGCTTGAATTAGTTTTGCGGCTGGGTATTGGTTGTCAATGGCTAGGGAATTCTGGGAGTTTTAATTTGCAGAAGTACTTAAATCTCTGATTTATACACACACAGGTTTCAGGATTCCCCAGGAGTTTCTCCAATTAACTAAGCAGATTGCAGATAGGCTTGAAAGCAAAGCACAATTAGTGTTCTATATCTACAGATTCAACCATGGACTGTTTTGCAAGTATTCCAAACTCTGCCCCCGTCCCCTCAGCAAACCTCAATTTTGCTGTTTTATATAAGGGGCATAATTTTACTATGCAATTACATATGATAGGACTTTAGCATCCATGCATTTTGACATCCATGGGGGTTCTTGAACCAAACCCAGTGGAGATCAAGTCCATCACAAGACCAAGAGTCCTTCCAGACGGCCCTTTATCCCAGGATCTGGTCCCAAGTTTTCTGTTTATCACAGATTATCTTGCAGTGCGGACTCACATAATCCGGTTTAAAGCAGAAAACCTGGGATCAGATCCTGGAATAAAGGGCCTGTCTGGATGAGCCCTGGAGCTGTTCATAGAATCATAAAGTTGGAAGAGACCTCATGGGCCATCCAGCCCAACCCCCTGCCAAGAAGCAGGAAAATTGCATTCAACAGATGGCCATCCAGACTCTGTTTAAAAGCCTACAAAGAAGGAGCCTCTACCACACTCTGGAGCAGAGAGTTCCGCTGCTGAACAGCTAGTTCCATAGTTGCACTCTGTTAAACTAAAACTTCCTTTGTGCTTGGGTCTACAGTGTCATCTGGATGTGATTGAGAGCCCAGCCTTTTCTTCATCAGTGTTTTATCTAGCTTCGGGCATCTGAATAATGACATCCCTATTAAGTGAGCAGAGCTAAAACACCCAATTTGCTGTTTCTGTTTCTTAAAACACAGGACATGTGGCGCTTACCTGGGAATTATATTGTGGTGCTTAAGGAGGAAACCCATAAATCTCAGACAACCCGGACGGCCAAGCGGCTGCAGGTCCGAGCAGCCAAGCATGGCTACTTGACAAAAATTCTCCATATCTTTGAGGACCTATTTCAGGGCTTCGTGGTGAAAATGAGCAGTGATGTGTTACACATGGTAAGTTTTTCTTTTTTGCAATGTTTATTGGTTGTTGCTTTTTTATTTGCACAAATGTAAATATTTCAACGATGTGATTGTTTCTGCATTTTAGACTGTATCTGGAAAAAGTTATGCAGTGGTTAGAGTACTAGATTGGGACCTGTGAGTTTCAGATCCAAGCTGCCACTCATCCATGAACTCTGGGCCCTTCCACACAGCCCTATGTCCCAGAATATCAAGGCAGAAAATCCCACATTATCTGAGTGTGGATTTAGATAACAGAGTTTAAAGCAGATATTGTGGGATTTTCCGCTTTGATATTCTGTGATGTAGGGCTGTGTTGAAGGGCCCATAGTTAAAAGGCTGTGTGGAAGGTCCCTAAGACACAAGCAGGGTAATAAAGCCCCAACCGACAACCACTTTAGGGCCCTTCAACACAGCCCTATATCCAGAATAGCAAGGCATAAAAACCCACAACATATGCTTTGAACTATGTTATCCGAGTCCACACTCAGTAGATGTGGGATTTCCTGCCTTGATATTCTGGGATATAGGGCTATGTGGAAGGGCCCCTAGATACAAGGATTGGAAATAGCTTTTTCATGTAGTTTGATTTTGATCGATTGGCCCAAATTGAGGCTTCAGAAGGCCCAGATGGTATAGTGATATATTGAATGATTGTAAGTGGGAAGTTGTGCTTTCCTGAACTGTTTTGATAAGCATCTATGGGAGGATGAAATGGGAATGGAAAGGAAGAGAGCCTGGGAAAAAGAAATGCCCTTGGAAATCCTATAAAGCCCAACCGAGCTGCATCTCAGTGTGGCACTTCCTTTTCATGCTGCCCACAGATCTTTGTTTTGCAAAATAAAATCTGTTGTATCTTTCAACTCCTTGCCTCTGAAACCTCATTTCGGAAGCTGGCTTCGGAGGTTTAAAAGGGGCCAAGCCTCTTCGTTATAACCCAGACTATTGAGACAGAAAATCCCACAATATCTGCTTTGAACTGGTTTATCTGAGTCCACACTGCCATATAGTTCAAAGCAGATATTGTGGGATTTTCTGCCATGATATTCTGGGTTATATGGCTGTATGGAGGGACCCTCAGCCTGACCCACCCTGCAGAATTGTAGTAAAGAGAAACTGGGGAAGAGGAAAGAGGCACGAAGGCTTGTCTTGAGCTCATTGAGAAAAAGGTAAGATGTCTAATGAATGAAAACTTAGAAGAAAACTCCTTTTTGAAAATACAATTGAATCTGTCCAAACATTTCTAGAGTTTCAGATGAGGGAGATGTGATTTGTGAAATCCTAAAGTGATGCAAGACTCATCTTTGGGGAAAGAGATGTTTCATTCATTTCATTTTTTCCTGCCTGCAGTGTTAGACATCTTCCAGGCTGCTCATTTGGCAAAATTTCACTAATGGAAGAGTGTTTTCAAGAACATTGTTGGCTGATGTGTGACATTGAGAAGTAGCTCAGGATGGAGTTTGGATGCAATTTTGCAGACTTTGGGATCCCTAATGCCCTCCGCTATTTAAAAGAAAAAGAAAAAAAGCCTTTTTGTGCTTTGTGATTTTTACCTAAAACATGGTGGAAAGACACCAACACCTGCAAAACTGGAAAATAAACAAAACCAGACATGGATTTCTAATCGCTTTCACTTATCTTTACTAACCAGTAGGACAGATGTTGTGGCATTAGAGATGAAAAATTGCCCCCTGGACTTCTGGATGTTGTCCAGCCCTGCTCTGGGAGAAGTGATCAAGTGAAAAAATGCGGCTGCATTGTTGCGCTCAAAAATGTGGACGAGAGGATTAGAAGAACAAACGGCTACAGACTGAAAGTTAGCAAATGCAAGGGAAAAAACAAGCAGTTCATGTGGTCATGGAATAGGTTTCATAATTAGCCAGAATTAAATATATGAAAGAAAGTGAAACGGAGGGAGATGTTTCATAAGTTCATGCCAGTGCCATAATAATTGAGTTTGCTCTATAGGAACAAGTGGAGAGCAAGAAGCAAACGAGCAGACCCTATAAATTCATGAGAATGCTAGGAAGACAATATGGGAACAAATGAAGCTTCTGGATTTCAGTCGTTATTGAAAATGTTTATGCAAAGCCTGCAGAATTTTCTATAGGGATGTGTAGTACAGTAAAAAAGATAGAAGTGAAGTCTTCTCTATTTCCTCCTGCTTCTCCTTGCCACTGGGCCCTTCCACACAGCCCTATATCCCAGAATATCAAGGCAAAAAATCCCACATTATCTGAGTGTGGACTCAGATAACCCAGTTCAAAGCAGATATTGTGGGATTTTCTGCCTTGATATTCTGGGATTTAGGGTTGTGTGGAAGGGCCCCCTGTCTCTTTCCTCCACTTCATGCTGCTGCCACTCACTTTCTTCCTATGATTAATTTTCTTCTTCCTTACGCTTCTTTCCATGACAAGATTAAGACATGCGGAGGCCTCTTAACTATGACAGATTTAAGAGGCAGTGGAGCATGACCCTGACTCCCTCCCCAGTGTATTTTAGATTTTTATTTTATTTTGAGCACTGGATAAACTGAGGCCCTAAACCAGGCGTGGGCAAACTTGGGCCCTCCAGGTGTTTTGGACTTCAATTCCTACTGGCTCTAAAATATCCCAGTATGCCAAAATTATTCAAAATATATCAGTGGACTACAACTGTCTGGAGCCCACTTTTATCCTGAGCGTACATTGGGGGTCCTCTTTCTATCTTCCTCTCTATCTTTCTTTCTCTGGTGAAAATGTTTTTGTTGTAATCCATTCAAGGTCAAACTGATCTAACTGTACTTCACCATCAGTTGGATGTAAATAGTACAGAATAGTCTTCAATCTTCTGATGTCTTATGTATCTGTTGACTACAGTTCCCTTCATCTACACCAGTGGTTCTTAACCTGTGTGTCCCCAGATGTTTTGGCCATCAACTTCCAAATATCCTAATAGCTGATAAACTGGCTGGGATTTCTGGGAGTTGTAGGCCAAAACACCTGGGGACCTACAGATTGAGAACCACTGATCTACACCAACATGAGATCTGGGGATGGTTTGAATTATAGGCCAACACATCTGGTCTATGATTTTGGGGAATGGTAGTATAGATGTTACTGAGCTAGCTGGGCCAAAGTTCTGACTTGAAGATGCTTCATTTATTTGTTCATTTGTTGTGCATTATATATTGTACACGACGAAGGCATTATGCTTGTGTTTGTGGTCATGATTATATGTGCAGGATACATGCTGTTAGCACGGCTTCCTGTGACTTATGAAAATGTTTTGTGTAAGTGTGTGCGTATGGCCAAATGCACAATCCCTTATGTGGTTTCTTTTGTGCAGGCATTGAGGCTGCCACATGTGGATTACATTGAAGAAGACTCTTATGTGTTTGCTCAGAGCATTCCTTGGAACCTCGGCCGGATCGTCCCAGTGCAGGACAATTCAAATGAATACAATCCTCCCAGTAAGTGTTGTCCTCTTCTGCATTTCTTCATGGAGTGCTAAAGATTAGCAAAGCTACCCTTAAATCTAGCCTAAGAAAGGCTCAATAATCAACAACTTCAATGACATATTGACAGGAACTTGAAGAGCAGTAGGTGTTCAAATACTGAGTTGCATCCTCTTTCTCATTAGAATGGGTTGCTGGTCTATTGATCTGTTTCAATAGACTCCTGGATTTAAATTGTCTTTGCCTGGTTATGTCTTGGTGATTTCAGTAGGCATGCTTTATGACTAAATCTGGATCCAACCTGGTGAATCCCCAAACATTCTCAGCATACCGCTTTACAAAAGCATTGTTGTCATCTGATGTGCTATTTTGAGACAGAGATCAAAAGTAACACAGGGGTTACCACAGAATAACCACTAAACTGCTGGACTTTCTTTCTGTTGTAGATCAGTCAGTTGGAATCTCTTCTTCTCTCCTAAATACTTACATAGTGGAGTGTACATTTTACACTCCTGAAGTTTGTTATTCCAGCTGGTTGCTTAGTTTACTCTCTATACATGAGTTTGTCCTGCTGGTTTGTAAAGATATGGAATGGTCAGTCTTTACTTTCCAAATATTTTGTAGGGAAGCTCCACTCCCAAAGGGCTATGAATACATGACTACGATGGACACTGAAATATTCAAGAAACAGTTATTTTTTTAAAAAAAGAAAGAAAGGTGGAATGAGCGAGTGAGAATATTTCCGCTGCTTTCTGAATGATATGCTGCCCTTAGGTAGTGGAGCCTTGTCTTACTCAACTGCTGACTATGCCTGCCCTGTTTGGTACAAGTCTGCCCACGTGAAGCAGGTGAATATAGCACTGAACAAAACATGCAGAATCATTACAGAATGTCTCAAATCTACACCTGTTGATAGACTGGCATTGCCTGGCTAGCTGGCATTGGCTAGCCAGGCAATAGACTGGCTAGCTGGCATTGCCCCTCTGATGTGCAATGGGAAGTTGCTGCCAACTGTGAGAGTAATAAGGTTGAACACTGTGAAAGCCATCCACTGCATGGCTATCAGACTCTTTCCACTAGACTCAAATCATGGGAAAGCATCATGAGAACCACCACTCCTCTTAATGTTCCCCTGGCAACAGCAAGAGTATCCCTGTGGGCAGCTTAACTAAGAAATCCCAAATGGTTGCCCCCTTCCCCCAACATGAGGGTCCACCTCCAGGGGCAAACCAAGAATGGGCAACTTGGAAGTCCCTGAACAGACTCAGAAGTGGAGTGGGCAGATCAAAAGACAACCTGGCAAAATGGCACTACAATGTGGTAGCCCTTGCTCGTTTTTGGTCTAAAATTATTTAGCCGCTTGTACTTCCTCTATTTTATCAGTTTTATACTTATTTATGCAATGCTTTTGCCACAAAATAAATAGGTAGTGGAGCCTGAATGGTGGTGCACCGTATTCATCCACTTCTGCAGAGATCCTTAGTAACCAGAATGGATCAGGCTCCAAGACCCTGGCTTTGTCCTTCGTGTTATGTGAGCTTGGTTGGCCCAGAGTAGAGTAGGGGAGGCAGAGGGTTGGGTGGATTTTGCCACTATAATACTGCCACCACAGATGTGACTTCTGGATAGATAGCAGGAGATTTTGTCCTAGCCTTGGTATAACTAAAAAATGTTGGAAGAGACCACAAAGGCCATGCAGCCCAATACACAATCAAAGCACCCTTGACAGATGGCCATCAAGCCTCTGTTTAAAAATTTATAGAGGAGACTCTGCTACATCCCGAGGCAACTATCCCCCTGTTGGACAGCTTTTGCCATCTTACTTTCAGGATAGAATGTTTGAGAAACATTGAAATATAAGCTATTTGAGAAGTAGTTTGGCTGGATTGTATTCCACTCATTGCTCTGATTGCATGGATGGTTGGCAGCAGGCAGACAGGACAAGAAATCTCTGCTCTTCCAAGGAATAGATTACTGCTTTGGGTATTCCCTCCTTCATTTCTTTGGCAAACCGAATGAGAAAGGAAAATAGGATTGACTAGAAGAGAGTGGAAATTCATGGTGATGGAAACACAATTAGTTCACACTAATTAATTTTGGTCCACCCATATACGCTTGTACAGTCTCACACCCTTGGGCTTGTTTTTTTCGCATGCCTTACAAATATTTTAGCTTAGGTATCTCAGTACTCTTGCCCCTCGGCACCAAGAGTTTTTGCTCTCTGTCAGAGGAGGCATTGTATGCTATCTATCTTTGTGCAGTCTATTTCCTCACTGGGGTGAGAGAGCAACACTATGCTTTAGGCAGAGGGGAGGCTTCTGTTGAGATCCCAGGAAAATGCTCCCTTTGCAAATAGGAAATGTGAGAGAGGCATTTTTTGAATCTGAAGCAAGGTCAAGGGATTAACAACGACAAAAATACCCCCTGCTTGGTATCTGGATTCTTGTCTCTACCTCCCCTTTGCTGGATAGATGATGATCAAATGTGTGCACACACAGCATATACATTCACATGAGCGAACAAGGAAAATATCAGTGGGTTTCAGACTAGTCGTTTAAATGTTTCAGACTTGGTTTCCAGCATTTCTGGCCATTGGTCACTCTAGCAGGAGCTCCCGAAGTTGAAATCCAAAACATCTGGAAAACCACAAATTGGGAACCATTAATGACATACCATTTCCAGTTTGTCCCTAATTTGTTTTCTCTGTATTTCCGACCTTGAACATGAAGAGGTTCCTTATTTAGACCACAGTTTCCAGACTCTGCTACCCACATTAGCTGGGCGGAATCTGGGACTTGAAGTCTGGAAAACTATTTTTTCCAAGATCTTTTCTGGTTGGAGATAACTGTTAAAACAAGCTAATAGTTTTGAAAGAGTGGCAAAGGTTTCAGAATGTATCAAGTTGCATCTTGATTGAGGATGCCTAGTCTACATCTCACCTCCGAGAAACATTTTGACACAAGAAGGTGAGCTGATTTCCAACTTTTTTGCATCTTCAGCAAAGAAGAGAAACTCGTATTATGTCTGTTTTCTCTGTGTCCTTCATGGGCTACTGTTTGCTGGACAGTTTGCCAATAAAACTGGACCAGCTCCCATTGGAAATTGCTCATGTGAGATAAACATCCTCTGATATTGGCAAGAAGGTTGGGATGGTGAAATCTCCTAATGCTACAGCAGGAGGCATGTGTACACTTCCTCTTGGCACAACTGACTGGCTGTCTTTCCACAGATAGAGGTGACCTGGTTGAAGTTTATCTGCTAGATACTGGCATCCAAAGCAACCATCGGGAAATAGAAGGTAGAGTGTTTGTGACCGATTTTGAGAATGTCCCAGAAGAGGATGGCACTCGATTTCACCGTCAGGTATGCCAATGTTGGAGACTCAGTTGTCATGTACTGCTTTTTATAAGGTAAAAGAAAAAAAAGAAAGACAAAGATAACATTATACTTCAGAGGTTGGGAAAACATCCCAACGTTAGGCCATATGTTTATTAGGACCATCAAATATGCCGGAGAGCTATAGCTCTTAATTAGGTTAGTTGGTATCTTATAAAAGTAGGGATGAGAAAGAAACCCAAAAATTAAATCAGAAATTGTGGCTATAGGGTCTGTTGTTAGATTCACTGACAAACTTATTATTGTTAAAAGCGGACAACTCCCATGTTACGGCAGCTTAACTAGCTGCTGGTTCGCTTCCGGGCTAATTACAAAGTGCTGGTTATTACCTATAAAGTCCTAAACAGTTCGGGTCCAGGCTATTTAACTAACCGCATCTCTGCATACAAACCAACACGGGCACTGCAGTCATTGGGGGAGGCCCTGCTCTCAATCCCACTCTCGTCCCAAGTGTGGCTGGTGGGAATGAGAGAGGGGGCCTTCCCCATAATTTCTCCCTCCCTTTGGAACTCCCTCCCTAGGGATATTAGAACAGCACCCTCATTCCTCTCCTTCAAGAGGCAATTGAAAACATACTTTTGCACACTGTCCTTTGGAGAGGAAGATGACTAGTTTTAATTCTTTATCTTGTCTGATAATGTTTACAAGGATTATTTTACCTTAACTACCTGAGAGCCATGTTTTTATAGTTCTTTATTGTTAGATTTTTATAGATTTTACCAGCTTGTTATTTATGATGTTGATTACATGTTTTAGCTAAGGCCATTTTATTGGCTTGTTTTTTAATTGTTCATTTGAACTCTTTGTTTTTTGTTTTTTTGGTATCATTTCTATTTTTATTATAGCATTGAAAGTTTGCCATGTTTGTTTTGGAAGCCATTCTGAGTCCCTTTGTGGGAGAGAGGGCGGGTTAGAATTATTATTATTATTATTATTATTATTATTATTATAAAAATAAAAATATACAACATTTCTGCAACCAGTTGGGGCTTAATGGGGCAATTCACTTCTGTGGACATAGTCTCGCAGGCAGAGGTGGGCATAGGAACACCAAGGAAGTATTATGTGGGCCTGTGGATTGGAAATGGCTGAAATATTGATATGTTTGTGCTCTCTGGCAGGCTAGTAAGTGTGACAGTCATGGGACCCACATGGCTGGTGTTGTGAGTGGGAGGGATGCTGGCGTGGCCAAAGGAGCCAGTGTTCGCAGCCTCCGGGTACTCAACTGCCAGGGAAAGGGTACTGTGAGTGGCACTCTCATTGGTAAGTAGCTCCTCCTGTAACAAAGCTTAGCTCTGGAACACAATATTTAGAAGATCACTAAGATCCTTAATGTTTACTTATTAATGTGTATTTAATCTCAATAATTTATATAGGGGTTAACCATCTCTTATCTGAAATGCTTGGGAAGTGTTTTGAATTTTGGATTGTTTTAGACTGTGGAATATTTGTATATGAGATATCTCCAAGATGGGACCCAAGTCTAAACATGAGATCTATGTTTCATATGCATCCTATACATGTAACCTGAAAGTAACTTAATACACACTATTTTGTGCACAAAACAAAATTGGTGTTCATTGAACCATCAGAAAGCAAATTAAAAAAAAGAAAGAAAGCAAAGGTATCATTATCTCAGTCACACATGTGGATCATTTTGGAGCATTTAAAATTCCTTCATAATGGATACACAACCTGAATCTCCTTTCTGCAAATGTGGAGGTTTAAAAACATGTTTTAAAATAAGATATATGTAAAAAAAATCAATAATGATACATAATTACAAATGAAATAAACTACCATTAAGACAACAGTTTTTTAAAATGTAAAATAATATACAAAACACAAAAGTAACAATAAAACCATAGCGATTCCCCATTAAAAGATCTTTCTGCATAGACACTTAATACAGTAATTAAATGTCTGTCCAAATAAAAATGTTTTTGCATGTTAGTGGAAGGAGAATAGGGAGGGGACCAGCCTAGTCTCCTATAAGAGTAAATCCATGGCTTGGGAACAGCCACCAAGAAAGTCCTTCCTGTGTCTTTCCCAAATGTAACTGTGTAGGTAAGAGGATCAAAGGAAAGCTGCCTCCTGAAGGTCTTAAAATTCATACAGGCTCAAATATGAAGATATAATCTTTCAAATAGTCTAGAACTATAGGTCACAACCAGTTCCTTGAATTGCAACCAGAAGAAACGGGGAACTAGTGAGACTGTTTTAGCAAGGATTCAGTAAATGAAACTAGGGTGTTCAGACTGGTTCTCAACAACTTACCTTTTGATTTTGAATAGTTCTTAAAATTAAAAGAGTCCAAAATTTAATTTGTACTGAAACTTTGGAGATTTTGACCAATGTCACCTTTTGTCCCCTACATGCAATTTCTGGTCTTATTTATGGACAGAAAGGACTTCTTGCATTTTATTGAAAATGTCCCAGGTATAACATTATAAGCAAAATTGCAAGTGATTAAATAACATATGAAAGTATAACTTTTGCTTGTAGTCTGGATATGACATTTCCTTTTGTCATTCATGTCTGTGTGATTCCTTTTATTACAGATGAGTTTAGGAAAGCTCCTTCATTCGTTAAAAGCACATATGCTCTTGTTTTGCTTCGTCACTTTGGAGAATGCAAACTGTGAATGATGCATATTGCACTTCTCATTTGAAGGAGACATTCTCCATAATGTGTTATTGCCTCTTTTCATAACAGGATTGGAATTTATTAAAAAGACCTTGGCTGCCCAGCCCTACAGTCCTCTGGTGGTTTTGCTCCCCTTGGCTGGAGGCTATAGCCGCATTCTCAATGCAGCCTGTCGCCTCATGGTCCAGTCAGGAGTGGTGATCATTGCTGCAGCAGGCAACTACAAGGATGATGCTTGCTTATATTCACCAGCATCAGAATCAGAGGTATGTCATGGAGTATGGGTCCCTCAGCTTCCTCCACAGTTTAAGATGTGTCATCTCCAGTTTAGTTTATTGATGCCTACTAAATAGATGATTCGGAACATCCCAAATTGAGTTGCTGGACAATCAGGAGTTCATATAAATCCTTCTCCCACTACCATCTTGAAAGAAAATGTTGGAGAGCTTTGCAGGATTATTCAGATGAATAAGGCTGCCATAGCTTGTGGTAGTTTATTTAGAGACATAGAATTGGAAGAGGCTACAAGGGATCCAGTCCAAATCCCTGCCATGCAGAAATACACAATCAAAACACTCTCATCTACCCTCTATCTAAAAATCTCCAGAGAAGAAGACTCCACCACATTCTCAGGCAGCACATTCCATTGTCAAACATCTTTTACCATCAGGAAATTCTTGCTAGCAAGCTTGTCCTTCCTCAATGTGACATCCTTTCAAATATTTAAACATGGCTATTATGTCATCCATCCACCTTCTTTTCTCCAGTTCCCTCAGCTGCTCCTCATAGGACTTTTGTTCCAGATCATTTTAGTCACCCTTCTCTGTACACGTTCTGGCTTATCAATATCCATCTTGAATTGTGGTGCCCAGAACTGGATACAATATTCCAGGTGAGGTCTGACCAAAGCAGAATAGAGTGGGACCTTGACTTCTCTTAATCTAGACACAATTTTCCTATTGATACAGCCTTGACTTTTTTAGCGGCCGCATCACACTGTTGACTCATGTGCAGCTTGTTGTCTACTAAGACCTCTAAATCCCTTTCACGGGTACTGTTTTCAAGTCATGTGTCACCCATCCTATATTTGTCCATTTCTTTCATACATTTGAAGATTTCCATATGAAGCAGTGTTCTGACAGCTCTTCAAGGGCACATTAGTGCAAATAGAAGAAAACTGTTACTATGACTATACTATACTGTCTGAAAGCTTAGTGGTTGGGAAACGTTCTTATTGTGGACATCGGTCGTGCAAACCTCAGTCTCTAGGGCAACAGATAGAAGAATCGGTCATGACCACTGCCTGAATCTTCACACCAAGGATTTGAAGGCTGCTTGGCAGAAATGGGTTCAATGCCAACAAGAGTCTGTTCTTACAGCATCAAAACAGGTTTGGTTATCTTGCACAGACCATACTGTCCATTTTCTGATGACATTGATCTTGGATATCTATGTATTTATAGCCTATGGATTAATCCTGAGGATTAGTTTAATCCTCAGACTTCTTGGAGAGATTCTTAGATTGAAGTTTGTGCTTTCATCATCTCGTGAAGCCAACTAAAGAGTAAATCAAGCCCAGTTATTGAGTTGAATGGAAGACATTTGAGTTAGAGGAAAGAAGACAGGGAATAACAGCCAACCAATATTTTCTAAGCCTTTTTTTCTTTCAAATATTTCAGTGTAGAGTTTTCCTGTCAGTGTTGCACCCCAGGCTTGAAGCCACCTATGACCATGGCATCACACAGAGTAGAAGCAAATAGTTTATTACAAAACCACACAAAAATATGTAGTAAAAAGTGGGAATAATGAAATAAGATGTAGAATCCAAAAAGCCAGCAATCAATTGTCTCTTATAAATCCAAAAGCAATCGAATCCAAAGATAGTCCCAGAATACAAAGGCAGCTTAAGTCCATAAACAAAACTTGAATAAGAATACAAAACAAGAACATGGAGAACTCCCAGAATACTTAAATTCAAAACCAAGACTTGAAACAAGAAGTAGAGAACCCAGGCTTAGCTGTACTTGAGAGCCACATTGCCTAAACTGAAATTAGCGTTTAGAATTAAATGAAAGCATGAATGGAAATGGGAAGCAGAAATGCCCTGGAATTTTTGCTTCCCATGAAGCTGTGTTGATCTACGAAGCTGGCTGTCTGCTCTAATCTGCAAGAGTGCTTCCTTGCTGAGGTCAGTATTGCCAGGTGTTTTCCCAGGAGAGTTTCTCATCAATTTGTCTTCGCTAGACTCCTTATCTTGAGAGGATGATTCCAACCCCTGTGACTGGCCTTGAGGTTCAGAGGCAATTACATTCTCAGCCCCTGCATTTGAATGAATCCCAGGAAAGTCCACAATCCCATCTGACTCTATCATCAGTGAACCCATCAGCCCCTGGCTGCTGTGACTGCTGCTGAGCTACCACAGTCAGCATCTCACCCTGTTCTTATGATAACTCCTGTTAACTCTGACTTATGGCAACCCTATCCTGTGTGGGCTTTTTTTAAAGGCAAGATTTATTTAGAGATTTTGCATTCTCTCCCTTTTAGGCTGAGCAAGAGCTGGGTTTCCATGGCTGGATGAGGATTTGAGCCCTAGTCTCTTAGGCATAGCACTGAAATAACCACACCATTATAGCTTCCCTTTATATATATATAGTATGACCATCAGCTTGTGTGTGATGGAGGTCATATTGTATATTTGAAGGAAAGCCATGATCATGAGTGGTACATTCCCAGACTGACTGTGGAAATGCAGAACTGTAGATAATAGTGTACCCTATTGAATGAATGACTTATCACAAGGGCATATTAGATAATTATTCTTACAGACCTATAAAATGCTGAGAAAGAGCACTTCTCTAGCATTTCTAGGGCCATCAGCATGACTCCATGGTCAACTTCACACTGGAGAACCTAGAAAATTTTGGGCAAAACATAGTTGCTTGGCTTTGGGTATATGGATGTTTTATTGTACCTTAGAATTTACATGTGCACTGTTGAGCAGTCTGACGATAGAAGTGATTGCCTGTGACAATGGTGACCTCTCCTTTGGTGGAAAAATTGTGGTTGGACAGCTATATTTTCAGAATACATTCGTTTTGGTTTTATTGTATCAAGCAGAGGACTATAAATGCTTCATACAAGCCTCTAATTCTATAATTATGTTAACAATTATTGAATACTTTATTCAGTTCTGATTGTGACAGAAGTTGTGTTATCATAGGTTATCACAGTTGGCGCCACCAATGTCCAAGACCAACCTGCTTCTATGGGAAGCCTGGGAACCAATTTTGGCCGTTGCGTAGATGTGTTTGCTCCTGGAGATGATATCATTGGTGCGTCCAGTGACTGCAGCACCTGCTTCACATCACAGAGTGGGACATCCCAGGCAGCTGCACATGTGGCAGGTAAAAAACAATATAGTAGGATTTTAAAGGGTGCAGCTGGACCAGTGCAATATGAGCTTATGGTGGAAACATGAAAAACTCCTCTGGATGCTCTTGTAAGGTTAAAAAAAACCCCTACACTTATGTTTATTGCTTCAAGAAATCTGCCTCCGGAATATTAAAGGTAAAAGAAAGTGACCTAAACTTCATTTGAAAAGTTGGTTCTCATGTGTATGTGCTAGCAAGCATTCACTGTTGAGGTTGGATGGAACAAAAGGGGACCAAGAAGAATTCAATATTGAAGTTGGAGTGGAAGAGTAACAACAGGAATCGAAAGGGAAGGGGAGACGGGATATGATGGAAGCTAAAGGCTTGTGTGTATAAAGGAAAGAAAGATACAGAGGAGTGAAAACAAAGGGCAGGCATGTACACTCCCATCTCTTGCTAATCACTTTATAGACGTGTTGATGCCTCTTGGCTTCCAACTCTTGTGTGTGTGTGTGTGTGTGTGTGTGTGTGTGTGTGTGTGTGTGTATATATATATATATATATATATATATATATATAGAGAGAGAGAGAGAGAGAGAGAGAGAGAGAGAGAGGATGAAAGTGTTTTATTTGTACACCGCCCTGTCTCGCCACAGGGACTCAGGGCTGTTTCCAACATGTAAGGCAAAATATTCAATTGCTCAAAAGAAACCATACAATTATATCAAAATAAACACATTTGATAATATAACAAACCTAATTAAACTTAACAGACAAAGTAACAACAACATCATGAAATAAAAAACCCTGCTAAAACACATTCAAGATAAAAATATTAAAGACCTATTTCATTGTAGCTCCTTCAGTAGAGGTTCAACAAAACCAATAGCCAGAGTTACTAAGTGGGTGTGGGCCAACTATAAAAGGCCTGGGCATGGGATAATGCAAACAGCAAATCATAGGGCCGGGGAAGTGGATGAAGTGCAGGACAGAGTACTATCTGGTTACCTGGGAACTGGGTCTAGGGACTAATAATTCTTGAAAACATACTGGAACATCCAGGTTTTCAAGTCACTACAGAAGGAGGACAGTTTGGGGGCTTGCCTAATCTCCCTGGGGAGGGTGTTCCAAAGTCAGGGGCCGTCACCAAGTAGGTCTTCTCCCCACCAGCCGTGCTTGTGGCGGTGGTAGATGCGAGAGGAGGGTGTCCCCAGCGGATCTTCGAGCTCACGCTGGTTAATAGGGGGAGATGTGATCCCGAAGATAGGCAGAGCCTGAACCGTTTAGGGCTTTGCAGGTAATAACCTGCACCTTGAATTGGAAGTGGAGCTGCTTTAATAGAGGCATCTTATGTTCCCACTGGGTTCCACATATATTTTTAAGGCATTTTTTTCTTCATAGCAGTGGTAGTACTGGTTTTCTGTACACAGAACTATTACAGAGGCAGTTGATGGCAAACTGCAATCTCAAATGAGGTTGCTAGGAGAAAGACACCTCTTAACATAAGTAAAATGGTGATGTGCAATGGGGAGGCAATCCTGGGGTCACACACTGAATGAAGGAATGTGTGACCTTGACTGATTTTGGTGCAACACTGCTGTTTGAGGTGACTGCCTGACCTTTATGCCACAAAACATCCTTTCTACACACATGCATTCTTTTCCTTCCTCTATGAAAAACATTTGCCAGCTTCATGCAAATACATCGTTATGCCTCAATTAAGCAGCTGGGGATGACAGAGTTCATGTTATGGTCTGATAATGACATGCCTTGTAGGCTCTGAGGTCTAAGGCTAAGCGCAGCATGGAGTTAACTGCTGCCAACACATCTCCCTGTTAAGTGGTTATATGCATCCTGAAGGGTGCCTGTGGATTGAAAAATGTGAGTCTTTTAAATAATAATGCCATATGCAGCTTGAAGAGGCTGTGTGTGTGTGTAATTATTAAAATATACACAATAACCAACAAAATGAGGCAGCGCCACACACAGAGAAAGGAGGTCCCAGGTGGCTGAACAATTTATATTTTAAATTATTTGTCGAATAATTAGAAACAGATTGTGTGCGGTTGCCTTGCTTTGAAGAGAAGTTGCCCTGTTATTTCCATGGAAGAAATGATCTTGCCATCCATTGAGGCAAAGAGGCTGATTGGAGTCCTTGCGTTCACACCAAATTTCAGATGGGCTGAATCCTGTACATATTATCCGGTAATCACCAGGGAGTAAACTCCATTGAACTAAGTGGAGCTTGCGTCTCAGTGTACACATGAATGTTTCATGGCAAGTTCCTTTTCATAGGGCTGAGTTGCTAAAAATGTTTTAAACTTGTGAACGAATTTTCTGTTGTCTTTTGTCTTCTGCAAGAGCATCAGACTCTATCAAGTCATTTTTGGCCTGGATATACAGACTATGAGGCACTTTTAGATCTCATTTATTTCAGTAGGACAGATTTCATCACTTGCCTAAATCTCTCCCATTCAGTTGCAGTGGACTTTGCAAACATCAAAGCAAATTGTTGTTGAAGGCTTTCATGGCTGGAATCACTGGGTTGTTGGTTTTTTGAGCTATATGGCCATGTTCTAGAAGCATTCTCTCCTGACGTTTCGCCTGCATCTATGGCAAGCATCCTCAGGCAAAACGTCAGGAGAGAATGCTTCTAGAACATGGCCATATAGCCCAAAAAACCTACAACAACCCATCAAAGCAAATTTTCTGGGTAGGATTTTGAGTTAGCTGAGTCCTGCTTGTACTGGAAAGAGGGGCTGTGATGGAGATCTCATTTGATTCCTTCATCTTTCTGTAGTTCTTAGGAAGATCCTCAGGAGGCCCAGGATTCCTATGGAAAACCAAGAATGGGTGCTGTCGGCATATTTTTGGGGTGTGTGTTATACTATTTGGGATGTATTCCTCACAGGTAGAGTGAGACAAGCAGGCAAACAGACCAGCATGCCCAACTGCTGGAAGCCTATTTGTTTTTAAAGTGGATTCTAAGTTTGCGTATTTTGCCTTCTTAATTTTTGGTTAAATGAAAGAAGCTATTTTTTTCCCTCTGTGGAGTGATTTCTTGACTCTGTTTAGCAAGACTGAGTACATCAGAGAAAGAGGAAAGAGGAGAGAAATAGGCTTTAAATGCAAACATTCCAAACTAGCTTTATAAGATTTTTTAAGTGCTAAAGGGGACATTTATGTAGATTTTATTCAATATATATAATATAATAATAGTAATATTATTACATTAATATTATATTAATAATATTAATATAATAATATGAATACAATAATAGTAATATTATATATATATATATATATATATATATATAGAGAGAGAGAGAGAGAGAGAGAGACAGAGAGACAGAGAGAGAGAGAGAGAGAGACTCAATTCCTTTATTTCAAGGCTATCATATCAAACATAAAAAAAGGACATATTAAGCTGAAGCTTGCTGCCTAGGAAGATACTAATTCTGCAGAATTACTCTTAGCCTTACATTACCACTTTGACTACATGCAGGGCAATGGCTTCAGATTTGGTTTCAATGCCAGACAATCCAGCCTTGGCTTTAAGTTTGAATGTTATTGGCTTTGTCAGACATTTTGTGTCTGGTGTTGGATTTGCACTCTTTGGGGTTCATCTTTTCTCTGTCTCCAGGTGGAGATGGTGGTGACCCTCCTTGGAAGCTTTCTCCTTCTTTTGGTGGAAAGCCTCTGCTGAATACTGGTGTCTTCAATGAATATAAGAAGTCCATTCATGGCGTAGTCAATCTCAATTGAAGCCTGTACTTCGATAGGGTATACCCTCGATTTCACTTTTTCGTTCAATAGTCACTTCAAGATGAGATGGCTGCTTTACAGTAAGATTTCAGTGTTTCACATGAAGTAGTGGGACACTGAATGAGACAGATACCTTCTAACCATTCATCATAAAGCTAAGGTGGAACATTGAGAAGCAGAGAATACAAGAAAGAATGGAGGAGAGAAGGTTATGGTCTTGTCCTCTGCTTTCAAATACTGTTTTGTTTATTAATTTATTATATGTGTTTATACCTGCTTTTCTCTGCCAAAGGAGATTCAAAGGGGCTAAATGTGTACATTTTAAATAAAATTTATATCAATTCACTAAAAGTGATTGACACAGAAATGTCATGGGAGGGCTTTTGCACAATTGAGACTTGTGCGCCAGCTGCGACCGTACCTCGCGAAGGCTGATCTGGCCGGGGTGGTCCATGCCTTGGTCATCTCTAGATTGGATTACTGTAATGCGCTCTACGTGGGGCTGCCCTTGAAAACGGCTCGGAAATTCCAACTGGTCCAACGGGCAGCAGCCAGGATGTTAACCGGGGCTCATTACAGAGAGAGGTCAACCCTCCTTTTCAAGGAGCTCCACTGGCTGCCGTTTATTTTCTGAGCCCAATTTAAGGTGCAGGTGCTTACCTACAAAGCCCTGAACGGTTTGGGTTCACCCTACCTGCGTGACCGCATCTCCGTTTACGAACCCACACGTTCACTTTGGTCATCTGGAGAGGCCCTGCTTGTGATCCCGCCTGCGTCGCAAACGCGCTTGGTGGGGACTCGAGACAGGGCCTTTTCTGTGGTGCCCCCCAGACTCTGGAACGCCCTCCCAAAAGATCTTAGACAGGCCCCTACACTGGCAGTCTTCAGAAAGAACTTGAAGACCTGGCTGTTCCGATGTACCTTCTCAGATTAGGAACCTCCAATACCAAGTCCTAGAAGCACTTTAGTAGAACTAAGATACTGCACACTGCACATTGCACTTACTTATAATCCTACATATCTCCTGCCACATCAGCACTTTTAATATTGTACCCATTACTCTGGTCCGACCCAGTTTTATAGTGTCTCGATGTACTGTTTATTGTTGTTGTTTATTCTGCTTAACTGTTTTTAATTTGCTTTGGTATTGTATTTGTTGTATTGTGTTTTGAGGCCTTGGCCTATGTAAGCCGCATCGAGTCCTTCGGGAAATGCTAGCAGGGTACAAATAAAGTAATAATAATAATAATAATAATAATAATAATAATAATAATAATATTTTACAAGCTTATTCAATAAATTTACTTAACAATGTGTTTTATCATAAAATATTAAAGGAAGAGATTATTGTCTCATTTAGCCGCAGGTGTGTCCTTGCCAAATAATACAGAGAGGCATGTGTGTTGCCACAGGTATTGCAGCCATGATTCTGAACAGCAACCCCACTCTATCCATCTCTGAGCTGAGGCAGAGGTTGATCCACTTCTCCATCAAGAACCTTATGAATGAAGCTTGGTTTCCAGAAGAGCAGAGGCTTTTAACCCCCAACAGAGTGGCTGGGCTTCCCTCTAAACTTGTAGAAGGTGAGTGCCTCTTACTCATCATTAGTTGCTAGGTTTATGGTGTTAAGATATGTCCATGCTGCATTACAGTGCCTTGAAACCACTTGTCATAGTTACATCCTAGACAGTCCTGGGATTTTCAGTTTTGCAACAATTTGATTCAGAACACTTCCAAAGAGTTCTTGTGTCTCCCTTACCAAACTACAAATACTAGAATTTTATGGGAAGCAGCCATTGCAATTAAAGAGGAGTCAAGCGGCTATAATTGTGTTGATACACCCATAGAAAGGTTTGAAGTTTTAGATCCAGGCTGAAACTTTCTTCCAAGTAGATGGCTCACTTATCCTTGATGTCCTTCCTCTAGCAGGAGAAATGCAGATTTTTTTCAGAATCACTTGTAGACATCCCGTTCAGCAATTATGATCCCTTGACTGCTGGAGACTCATATTTATGGTTGTGAATGACAGTGTAAAGATTGAAACCAAAGTGTTTCTGAGGTGCTTCAGAAAGGGCATTAGGAAATGTTTGCAGCATTCTTCCGGTTTTTAGGGCACATTGATACATTGATATAAGCTTTTGTGACAGAATTGAAGGGATATCTTTAACTCCCTATTCTTGATGTGCTCTGCAATTTGAAGAGTACTGTAGATACCATTACCTAGTCCAGTGGTTCCCAACCCCTCCCTTTTTTTTTAACCAAGGACCACTTTGACCAGGGACCACTCCAACATTAGTACCAAAAGGGTTACGAATCAGTTTAGATTTGGTTTGGTTATTTGGAGTGCTGATTCAGAAAACTGCATTGATAGACAACATATCAGCTCTGGTTTCTAATACAGAACATATGCCACTCAGTAGTCACCATTGGTGGTGATGAGAGAGAGGGCCTTTTCGGTGATTGCCCCCTAGCAATGGAACTCCCTTCCTGGTGAGATCAGATTGGCCCCCTCTCTCCTGTCTTTCAGAAAGATAAGAAACTTGGCTGTGAGACCAAGCTTTTGGGACAGCGCAATAAAGCAGCGATAGAAAACCTTACCAGGCCAATTAGATTAGACACTGATAATCAAGATGGTTTTAAACAATGTATTATAATATGGAGATAAATGTTTTTAATGTTTATGTATTTAATTGTCGTGTCAGGGCAACCAGTCAATTGTATTACATTTCTAACAGAACAAAACAAAAACAAACAAACAAACAAACAGACAGACAAAACACAAAATTTGCAAGTTTGGTAGTTGATTAAATGTCCTTTGACCAGTATCTGGCCACTTGGAGTGCTTCTGGTGTTGCTGTAAGAAGGTCCTGCATTGTGCATGTGGCAGGACTCAGGTTGCATTGCAGCAGGTGGTTAGTGGTTTGCTCTTCTCCACACTCACATGTCGTGGATTCCACTTTGTGGCTCCATTTCTTGAGGTTGGCTCTGCATCTCGTGCTGCCCGAGCGCAGTCTGTTCAGCGCCTTCCAAGTCGCCCAGTCTTCTGTGTGCCCAGGGGGGAGTCTCTCATTTGGTATCAGCCATTGGTTGAGGTTCTGGGTTTGAGCTTGCCACTTTTGGACTCTCGCTTGCTGAGGTGTTCCAGCGAGTGTCTCTGTAGATCTTAGAAAACTATTTCTAGATTTAAGTCGTTGGCATGCTGGCTGTTTATGTTTATGTATTTATATAATAAATTCATGTCCCAGCATTGAATGTTTGCCGCATATATGCTGTGCTCTGCCCTGAGTCCCCTTCGGGGTGAGAAGAGTGCAATATAAATGTTTTAAATAAATAAATAAACAATAAATCTGCTTGCCCACAGAAAACCATATTTAATAACCCTCGGCACTATAAAACAGTTTCGTGAGAACAGTCGCTCTCGTTGCAATGGTGTATTGTTCTTATGGGCCACTGGTGGTCCATGGACCACAGGTTGGGAACCACTGCCCTAGTCCCGTGATCTGCAACATGTCCAAAGTTCTTTGGTTGGTGTGATACCGCATGACATGGACACATTGTTGTGCAGTTACTTTACCAGATATAACTATGATAATGGAGCTCTCTCACTGTAGTTACTTTGAAGATGCAGGATCTTGTATGACGTGTTTTAATATTCCTTCTAATACAGCTATGTTTTAATATTAATTACCTGATTAGTTATTTTAACATTTTGCTTGAGTGTGTGTCTTATACCCGTTTCAATTGTGTTATAAACTAAATCACAAAACCAAACAAGTCCTGTGCAGATATAGCTTTTCTATGTGGCTTTTCGTTTCTATAAGAAACTTTGTTAACTATAAAGGATGGCAACTCTTTTCCAGATGAAGAGTTATACTGTCGCTCTGTGTGGTCTTCCCTGTCTGGTTCGACTAGTTCAGCAATAGCTGTCGCCCGTTGCAATGGAAATGAAGAAATGTTCAGCTGCTCAAGTTTGTCAAGGAATGGCAAGCGTCGAGGAGAGCGCATTGAGGTGATGTTCCATGGTAGCAATGCTCCTTTTGTCATTAGAGTTTGTTCTACCTGTGTTTTGATGGGATTGGATTTTCAAGATTACTAGCATTGCTTATGACTCACTGCTGTGTGTTTTGAATTCCAGGACTATGGAGGCAGGAAAGACTGTGTGGCACATAATAGATTTGGTGGCCAAGGTGTCTATGCCATAGCCAGGTGTTGCATTTGGCCTAAAGCGGACTGTCAGGTTTATGCACATGCGCCGGTTGCAGAGCGCACAGCTGTTCAAAATGTTGGCTGCACCAAGGATAGCCATATTTTGACAGGTATGTGGTGGGGAAGCAATGGAAGGACAATCATTGTTTAATTTATGGGGCATCTTTGATTGAATTATGAAGATTTATTTATCGTGTCATCAGCAACCATTGTGTTACACTTCTAACAGAGCAAAACAAACACAGAGATTAAAAAGAAAAAGGAAAAAAAACACACACACAGATTTTGCAAATTTGGTATTTGGTTAAATGTCCTTTGACCAGTATCTGGCCACTTGGAGTGCCTCTGGTGTTGCCGCAAGAAGGTCCTCCATTGTGCATGTGGCAGGGCTCAGGGTGCATTGCAGCAGGTGGTCAGTGGTTTGCTCTTCTCCGCACTCGCTTGCCGAGGATTCCACCCTGTAGCCCCATTTCTTAAGGTTAAATTATGAAAATGCTTAACAGGAAATCAGCAAGAGCACCTTACCTGGTGTTCCACATTGTGTTGAGGGTTCTCAGTACAAACTGATGACTTTGATGCCTCCCCCTCATAGTGTTATAACAACAGCCCCTTCAATTTTACATGGATATTGCAGAACTATCAATTCTAATTTTGACATGAGTCCACTTATGAAGATGTAACACCCATCAGGATGTTACATCAGGATAACCGCCAGTGCTTTTGTGCTGCCTTTGAAAAGCTGAGGGCAACAGTGATGTATGGCAAGTTCCACTTGTCACCTGGATCCACTATCTGTTGCATCCGTCTCTGTACACAAAGGGAGCTTATAACACACTTCAGATTGAGAGAAAGAAGTTGGTAGCTTAAGTTCTTTAATCATTTAACTCCTTTCTCAAATGTGTGAAATACCTAGGACTAGACCGATGTATATAAGTCTATATATAAGACTGATTGCATAAATAGGAGTATAGTGTCTAAATCCAGGGAAGTCATGCTACCTCTCTATTCTGTCTTGGTCAGACCACACCTGGCAGAATAGTGTCCAATTCTGGGCACCACAATTGAAGGGAGATGTTGACAAGCTGGGATGTGTCCAGAGGAGGGCGACTAAAATGATAAAGGAGAACAAGTCCTATGAGGAGCAGCTTAAAGAGCTGGGAATGTTTAGCCTGCATAAGAGAAGGCTGAGAGGAGACATGATTACCATGTATAAATTTGTGAGGAGAAGTCACAGGGAGCAGACTTGTTTTTTGCTGCCCTGTAGACTAGGATGCAGAGCAATGGCTTCAAACTACAAGAAAGGAGATTCCACCTGAACATTAGGAAGTGACAGCTTTTCAGCAGTGGAACTCTCTGCCCTAGAGTGTGGAGGAGGCTCCTTTTTTGGAGGCTATTAAACAGAGGCTGCATGGCCAACTTTCATGGGTACTTTGAATGCAATTTTCCTGCTTCTTGGCAGGGGGTTGGACTGGATGGCCCACAAGGTCTCTTCCAACTCTATGATTCTATATATGAATGCGTGGTTTATGTGTGAATAGCAATACAAATGTAAAACATATGATTATGTGTTGATAAGGTTCCAGGTTCAGCTTAATAATGATTTGTATTGTTGAAGGCTTTGATAATGATTGTTGGAGGACAAAGACAGGAGGAAATGAATTGCCTAAAGCCAAGGCATGTGTTCATGGGTGCCACTGCGACTGAAACACTGTGTTAAATTGCATTTAAAAAGTTCTTCATACCCACAGTGCTGCTTCATCTTCTCAAGAAGTCTTTGGCCATTTGAAGTGAAAGGGATTATGGAGGACTTGGGGGTGGGGTGTGTGTGTGTGTGTGTGTGTGTGTGTGTGTGTGTGAACTGGATTAAAACATGAACCAGTTCAGAATGTTTGGCCCAGTTCCCAGAAGTCCTAGCCAGCAAAGTCAGTAGAGACTAAAGTTGGAAGTTACAGCCCACTAGCATCTGAGGGGGTCACATTTTGTTGTTCACCCACCCATCCCACTCCACCCCAAAGTTACATTTAAAAAAAAACCTAGAGTCAAGTGTACTATTATCTAGTAAGAGAAAACACCAGTCTTGCTTTTTAAGCATTCTATTCATGTCCAGAATGTCACTAAAATAATGTACCTTGGCAGGTTGCAGTTCTCATTCTGTGGGTGAAGATTTCAGTGGCAACATCAGACCTGTACTCAAGACAGAAGGCAACTATGACCAATGCATTGGCCAGTCAGGTACAGCTGTTCATGCCTCCTGTTGCCATGCACCCAGCCTTGAGTGCAAGGTACAAGAATATTCTCCTTTGGAACACATAGCAAAGGTAAGTGGTTATTTTTAAAACTAGACCAACTAGTACCCAGTGAAGGAAATTGACCTGAGGCTTTTGTAATGCCTGTTATTCAGGCTAGAAGCACCCTAATAGTGCTAATATCTTAAGAGATCCTCTGCTGTGTGAGATGATCCTTCTGTCATTCTTGGTTTTATTTATTTATTTATTTGCTATATTTATATCCCGCTCTTCTCAACCCCAAAGGGGACTCAGAGCAACTTACAGATTATGGCAAAATTCAGTGCCGCATTATACAACAAATAATAAATATAGCATATCAAATTATAAAACCATTAAAACATATAAATGCAATAAAAAGTTTAAAACATAGAGAACTAGAGCAGATGTTCCATCGGGGAGGAATGAGACACCAAACCAGGGTGGCAGTGTTCACTCAAGAGAGGGCCCAGGAGAATCAAGGGCCACGGCTGGAAGAAACAAATGTTGACCCAAGGATGCTGAAATGGAGGCCAGTCAAGATAGAGTCCGGCAGCACCAAGTGGTCCCCAGAAGCTGAGTGAGTCCCTAGAAGCTGAGCCAGAGGCAGCAAAGGAAACAAACACTGCCCCTTCCCTCAAAGCCTCTGATTATGGTATCTTCGTTTCTTGCTTAAGCCTGAGGCCCTGCAGGCATGGTCTTTTTTATGCCTCAGCCTCTGGGGCAAGCAAGAGGTGTTGCTGGCCTCAAGTTGCAGAGTCAGGGTCTCGATTCTGCAGGAGTGAGTCCCCAGGTGCTGAGCCAGGGCAGCAAGGGAAAAACACCCACTGCCCCTTCCCTCAAAGCCCTTGGTAATGGTACCTTCATTTTTGCTTAAGCCTGAGGTCCTGCAGGCATGGTCCTTTTTATGCCTCAGCCTCTGAGGCAAGGAGGTATTGTTGTTGGCTTCAAGTTGCACAGTCAGGGCCTCAGTTCTGCCAGGAGTGAGTCCCCAGGAGCTGAGCAAGAAGCAGCAAAGGAAAAAAAACAAAAACACTGCCCCTTCCCTCAAAGCCCTTGGTGATGGTACCTTCACTTTGTGGTCATAACTTCCTGTAATTTGCTCTGTTTCTGAGCTGAACCGAGATAAAAGTGATAATGAGGATGACAAAAATGGAAACAAACTATAGGATTTGCTTACTAAACTGAAACTCAGTGTTTTTCACTGCTATGGTACGTGAAGAAGAATGTGCAGTATATGTGGCTCGGTCAAGTATGATTGTTTTGGAGTAAGTCTCCCAGTAACGTTATAATACAGAATATGCACACACTCAAGTATTTTTAGCCAACCTCCTATTTTCAGATGAAAAAATTGATGTATTTGTATACTGAGGAAGGGTGCAAAACTTGCACTGAACTCTCCTTCCCATTTTGTGAACAGTGTTTTCCACTGTTGTGTGAGCGCACAGGAACAATGAAGATTTTTGGAGCTTTTATTCTAAAAGGGCAATGTACTTAAAAATATGACTTCTTGCTAATTCTGATGAATCCTCTTTGGTTGTAGAACAGGGGAAATTCTTAATGTTGAATAATCCCTCTCGCTGTCTTCTCAGGTAACGGTGACTTGTGATGCGGGTTGGACACTGACAGGATGTAATGCCCAGTCTTATGGTTCTCACACACTTGGTGCATATTCAGTGGACAATACCTGTGTAGTCATGAGCAGTCCAGGGAGACACAGAACAGCAGCCATTGCCATTTGTTGCAGGAAAAGACTTTTGGAAACTGTGAAGCATCGTTCCAGTTACAAGTGACAGTTCCAACTCCTTCTCCCTCAGTTACCGGAGACTCTCAAATTATGACAGACACCCCATAAGGTGACATTGGTGATGTGATAGTCATATCTCTGTTTTGCTTGAAGAAAGCATTTTGAAAGCAGGCTCTAGTACAACTAGTAAGGGTTCTTGATTGGTCCTTGAGATATTTGTTCTCAATTTCACAGCTGATTGGCATGATGGGGTCTGCTTCAATATTATCAATTGAGCTACACCTATAAAATTCACCCTAAGCTATTGTATCTTCTGGTATACCATGACATGCATAGCCAGAGACTTCCAGTCAGTGATGGGATAAATGTGTTCTTTATGTGGATTACTTAACATAAAGACTCTTTCTAGATTTCCATGAAGGAGTTAATTCCTGTTGTCTTTTGGGCAGTACCTTGACCTTTTAGTTTTTTTCATTTTCTTGTCTGGTCCCCCATGTCTATTCTTCTGATATCAAGCAAAGTCTCAGACATTTAAAAAAGCAGAACAGGGCATGACCTACATATGCACCAATGCTATCACAAAAGTTGGTTTTGACATCTCTTGTTTTGAATGAACCTTCATGATCTAGAACTAGTCTCATTATCAGATGACAGAAAGAAACCATCCATGAATGGGATCTTTTTGAGCTGTGAACCAAATAAGTTTGCATGGATGTGAGAATATGGTGGCAAAATATTCAAGGGAAAATCACTTGCTATACCACCTTTTCCCCTAAAGCACCTTCTGCAGAAATATATTTACTTATTTTATAATCCTTATGAAAGGAGGAGTAGAGCATGTTGTGGAACTACTCAATACTGTGTGTTGCAAGAGACATCCATGACCAGGTTAATGACTGTTGTCACCTAGACTAGTTAAGAGTCACATGGCTGAAAAACTCTTGACTTCATACATAAACTACTGGGTTTTTTGCATCATGACAAAACTGTTGATGTAGCTGCAAGTATTGCCAATATAATATTGGAAGTTTTTGAAAGCCCCAAAGAAGCATAGGCTGTGAAAATACACAATTTTAACCACTTGGCTAAAGTGAGAGTAGACACTTTGTTTCCTTAGGAGTCACTGAGAATTGGAACAAGAGAGGATTCTAACTTTGAAAGACAATCTGGGATGGTGCCAAGTCTAAAATCTCTATTCTTGAAAATCCCCTGCGGAGCATGTGAATTTTGCGTGGTCTGGCCATGAAAGGTATCATGGATAGCACCTTCTCTGGTCTTGAGAATAATACAAAATAAATAATGTTTATGCTCCTGATTTCCAAGGTAGGAATCTAGAAGGTAGGAATAAAAGAACAGGCTACAATGAGTGGGAAAGCGAAGACCCATCTAGTGCTTTAGCCTGGCCCCAATACTTTTGTATATGTGTGACTTCTGACAAAGTAGGTAATACAAATTCAATTGCCTGAAGACACCCTGCTGCATTAAGGCATAGATTTCAGATACTGTCATGGGCGAATACATACTGGAAGTGGTTTATAAGCCAGTGGAATACAGCACTTAGCTGGTTCAAAGGTATATCTATTCGTAGTTCAGTATTTGGTTCCAAAGTGCCTTATATACTCCATATTTAACAACACATATTAGACCACCATCCTTGTGAACTTAAAACTGTGTGAACCGAAGAGGATCAGCTACATTGAGTTGTACTGCTGCTTTCTAATGTAGAGAAGCCACATCTTTGGAGGGATGTTGTCCACATTCTGCTGTTGAATAGAAAAATTGCTCCTTTTTCTAGTTTCTATGCTCCTTTTAGTTGCCTACTGATTTCCTTGTCAAGGTATATTGCCAAAAACATATGGTCTTTTGTATACCTGGTTTTCAGGCCATGAGAGTATGTATGGTTGAACCACAGTAGCATTGGATTCTATAACTGCAAAACTCTCCAGACATTCTGGGTAAACACAAAACTACCCACTTTGGTAAGGGTTTGATTGAGGGGCTCCAAGAATCCCAGTGAACTGAGGCACAGTGTTTATTCACAAGAGTAAACCCCAAACCTAAAAGCACTTGGACTCAGGAGGTGAAGTACTTCTGACCTTTAATCACATTTGAGATACTGTAAAAATCAAGCTGTCAGTATTTTGGACCAGTTAGTTTGGTTTACTGATATAAAACTCTTGGTAGCTATCATTTAAGTTTGTCAAGATAGTGTATTTAGAATTACATATGAAATCTTTTGTTCAGATGTTTAACTGCTTGTATAATCAAGTATTTATCTGCAATTACTATGTTCCTATTTTAAAAGAGCAACCTTATGCATGCCTACTCAAAGGTAAGACATTTTGTTCCGTGGTGCCTCCTTGCAGGAAAATTTGCAGAGGACTGCAGCTTAAATGGCTTAGTCCTCTTCAGAAAGGCTAAGATGAATACTGAATATTGAACTATTTTGATAGCATGTAATATGTTTTATGTTGTTTTTGAGCTAAAATACAAATTTATCTACTGTAATTCATTGCTGATTGACGTAGAGAAAAGCCTTTGTGCTGTGGGTTTTGTGTCCCCCCCTTCCCTTGTAACTATTTATTCTGTTTTATATAACATTTTATAAAACCTACTTTTTGAAATAAAGTTTCATATGATTTTTCTTGGATATGTGTGTAAATGTACTTTACTCATTATCTAGATAAATTAGTGTAAAAAAGAGTTACAATATTAATATAATGTTCTTAGGATTCAACTTTCACACACATGGAAGATCAAAAGCAGCGTTTCTCAACCTAGGGGTTGGGATCCTGTGGGGGGGGTCACAAGGAGGATGTGCGAGGGGTCGCCAAAGACCATCAGAAAACACAGTATTTTCTGTTGGTCATGGGGGTTCTGTGTGGGAAGTTTGGCCCAATTCTATCATTGGTGGGGTTCTTTGATTGTAGGGAAACTATAAATCCCAGCAACTACAATTCTCAAATGTCAAGATCTAGTTTCCCCAAACTCCACCAGTGTTCACATTTGGGCATACTGAGTATTTATGCCAAGTTTGGTCCAGATCCATCAGTGTTTGAGTCCACAGTGCTCTCTAGATGTAGGTGAACTACAACTCCAAAACTCACAGTCAATGCCCACAAACCCTTCCAGTGTTTTCTGTTGGTCATGGGAGTTCTGTGTGCCAAGTTTGATCAATTCCATCGCTGGTGGAGTTCAGAATGCTCCTTGATTGTAGATGAACTATAAATCCCAGCAACTACAACTCCCAAATGCTAAAATCAATCCCCCTTACAACCCCACCAGTATTCAAATTTGGGTCTTTGTGCCAAATTTGGTCTAGCAAATGAAAATACATCCTATCGGATATTTACATTATGATTCATAACAGTAGCAAAATTACAGTTATGAAATAGCAATGATAATAATTAAATGGTTGGGGGTCACCACAACATGAAGTCCTATATTAAGGGGTCATGGCTTTAGGAAGGTTGAGAAACACTGGGCTAAGGAATAAGGGTCCATAGTGTTCAATTTTCTGTTGGTCATGGGAGTTCTGTGTGCCAAGTTTGGTTCAATTCCATTGTTGATGGAGTTCAGAATGCTCTTTGACTGTAGGTTAACTATCAATCCCAGCAACTACAACTCCTAAATGACAAAATCCCCTCCCAACCTCATCAATATTCAAATTTGAGCATATCAGATATTTGTGTCAAATTTGGTCCAGTGAATGAAAATACACCCCGCATATCAGATATTTACATTATGATTCATAACTGTGGCAAAATTACAGTTATGAAGAAACAACAAAAATAATTTTATAGTTGGGGGTCTCCACAACATGAGCCACTGTATTAAGAAGTCGCAGCATTAGGAAGGTTGAGAACCACTGCTCAAAAGGATAAAGTGCAAGACAACAAATTCTAAGCTTTGCTCCATAGCGCCACAGAACAGTTTACTGGGTGAAATGGACTAACAGAAGGTCCACTGGCTTCTTTTTTGGAAGTTAATGATTGCATTGTTTCTGGTGAGAGGAATAAACTTTATTCTGTTGACCAAGCCTTTCCCCCCCATGACAACAGCCTTTCTCGTTTCCAAGTGCCTTTTGAACTATTTGCACACAACCATACATGAAGAGAGTTATCCATCCGAACTGTGATTGCCCCACCTCAACAGAATATTCTGTTAATATGTATAAAATCCATTTTTTCATCCAAAAACTGGCAGTAAAAGTGACCACAACATATAAACATGTCACAATTTACACAGCAAACTAGATTTGTTGCATTAGAATTTTCTCTTAAAAAAAATATTCTTCAGAAGTTTCAGGTGATATAGCAGCTGGAAAACAAATCTCTTACTTGAAAACCAAAAAACCATCAGCTTCATTCAAGCAAAAAAAGGACCAGGAAACAGCCTGCAATTGTTTTGGAATATCTGATGGCAAAGCAAACTAGCTTGGGATTTTGCAAGTTATGTTCTCTAGTAAGAGCCCACCTTTTCCATAGGAAATGATGGCAACTCCAGTTCCTTTGGATTAAGAAGAACAAGGTGATCCAATAAGGGAAAGGGTGGGACATCAGACTGTATTCCAAATTTTAAAATTTCACATTTAAAAAGTCTCAGGCATTTTATAAAATACCCAAATGTTGCCACATTTCAGTGAAAATGTGCTGCTGCTGTTTTCACCCATGAGGTGTTGAAAAAACACTTTCTTTTGATTCATGCTTGTGGCAAAGAACTCCAACTGTACAGCTAGTTCCTTCTATAGTGAAATGACCTAATGTATTCACAACTAGTGCACCAGAGTAAAGAAAGCTATGTGCCTGATCAGGTTTCGCAACCATACACAGAAGTCAAAAGAAAATAAAAAAGGCACTTTTTGGCTATTTGTGCCTTTGACTTGGCAAATCTTTTCACAACAGAGGTAACCCAGGCACTCTCAATGATTTCCCCTCAATTCATCTGCATGGTGCATTTTGTTTAACTTAAGGCAAAATCCCTGAACAAAGGCAAAAGCAGTGAAGAAAAATGTGAAAAGTGAAGAAGAAACAACATTGGCACAGAAAAAAAACCCCTTAATATCTACAGCTGCGAAAGAGATCGCTTAATTGCATTTCACATGGGAAGTAAAATCATTCCCATGTTATGTTTGATTTCCAGTTATTAAAGAACTCATAAATCTCTTGGATTTTAAATGCTACCTAGCCAAGCTAAACAAAGTTCTACAATCCTTTGCCTGTGTTAAAAATCCATATCCCTGCTTGAGGAATCCTGCATCCAATTCCAACCCTTTTAATTTGTAACTAAAAGCAAATGATTGCAGATCACATCATTAAGACTACAATTTATTCAATATGTCTCCCAAGTATTAGAATGATCATTTAAAGGAGGCAAACAGCAACAAAATTCTGTCTTAAAGTGCTTTTTGATAAACTTACCCAACATTTTTTAAAAAAAAAAATCAATTGATGCCACAACACACATGTATTCTTGGAATAAACAAAGCTCTTACTGTTCTCACCCATTTACTTATGACATTAGGAAAAGAATTGCCAATTCCAGGCTTCCTTGTACCTACACCATTCCATAAGGAATAACCATCCTTACAGAAAAGGGCCCTTTTAACAAACCCTTTCTGTAAAGCGCTATACAAATTACCTCGGAGACATATTAAATATAAAGGGCCTTGTGTAAACTGATTCTTAATATTTTACAGTGCCAAGTGTAAGTCACCACATTTTTTACACAATTTTGAATATTCCTATCCAATATTTCAGAAAGATCTAAAAATTTGCCCTTCATACCTAAAGGCAGTTTGATTTTTCTTCTTCTGTATATAAAAACCAAGGGTTTTTTTTTTTTGCAGCATCACGGAAAAGCAATATTTTTTACATTCACTCATTAAAGGTTCACCATAATAAAAATTTCAACCTCTTTATATTTCTTCCTTAAATGGGTAAAATCTTTTGACAGATTTTAATTGACTCCTGCCTTGACTAGCATCCCAAAAGAACTGCTGAGGATGGGAGCATCTTCATAGCGCACCGCTTAAACTTCTCAGGTGAAGAATAGCTCTTAGGAAGTAGCATGGCCACTGATTCTGTGAAAGCTTTCACTTCAGATCCCTCTAAAGCTGAAAGCGGCGGGATTCCAGCAATTTCAATGTGCCAGGTATCCAGTTCTTTAGTTAGAAGTTTTATTCTTCAGCATACAGCTCGCCACTAAGGGTCCACATCATCAAGGTCACTTTTAGGTTCACCAATCATCATGGGGGACACCGAACCCTTTGAAAACATGAACAAAACTTAAGATACACTGGGAAAAATAAAGTACTGTTGCACAGATAAGATTTAGAAGTTTTCATCGGTCGTCTGACTTGCAATATTGTAACAACCCATCTTATTAAAGAAATAGTTTTCACCATAGGTTATTGGGCGTTGTTCTGAGTTTTAAAATGTTGATTTATATGCTATATGTTTTACTTTATTGTATTGTACTGTGTGTTTCTTTTATGCTCTGTTTTAGGCACTTTGTGCCAAATGTAAGCCACCCTGAGTCCCTTCGGGGAGATGGAGGTGATTTCAGTGGAATTCAATATACAAGAGAATTCAATTTTCAGCATGAGGATATGCAAATCAAAACCAACAAGCAGAGTTTCAACCAATTAGTATTCATTCAGTTTAGAAAATGTGATTGCTTTTATGCAGCCTGCCAGCTGATTGCGCAATGATCACAAACAACACAGTTTTCTGGGTTTTTTGTTTTTTTGCATATTGATAAGAAAAACACTCATAGCAAATATGAATGTAATAGGTTCAACCTGGATTATGATTGCATTTACCTGTTGTAGATGTCTGCCCCCATTCTCATTGGCTGGGCTGCTCTCAGATCCATTACTGCTTCCAGACTGATCTTTCTCATTTAGCAAGGCAGTGGCATATGCCAATGTGTCCTAATAAAACAGCAGAGTGGTTATGAACCATGCTAACAACAACAACAACACTTTATTTATATTCTGACTCAGAGCGGATTACAGTAAACACAGGCAAACATTTAATACCTTATTACAATGACATACAATGAGACACAAACACACAAAGGCAAAGGCTTTTCCTTTCATCTCCGGCTCTGGGGGAGGTGCTCTTTCTCAATTTCCAAGCCAAGGAGCCTGCATCCATAGACACCTCCTGGTCATGTGGCCAGCATAACTGCTTGTAGTACATTTTTGCCTTTTCCTGCTGAAGTGGTACCTATTGATCTACTCACATTTGCATGTTTTCGAACTGCTATGTTGGAAGGAGCTAGGGCTAACACCGGGAGCTCATCCATCTGGTGGATTCAAACTGCCAACCTTCAGGTCAGCAGCACAAGGGTTTAACCCATTGTGTCACCATGGCCCCTCACCACTGCTAAGAGGTTCATATAATTGAAGAGTTTATCTGATAAATGCCCCCCCCCCACCACCAATAGTACATTTTTGAACTAATTCAAACATTTATTAATGAATCCTGTTATAATATAGGAGATTTTTAAATTTAAAAAAACGATTGTAAAACTTTGAATACTATTCACATCCACTGTTTAAGCAATGGATGACAAGCGATTTATGCATCAAATGAATTTCACATAGATTATCATGTTTTTCTGCATACGAGCCTGTAGTTTGAC